CCTAGTATCTCAAACATGTTTTCCCTCTAATTAGAGGTTTTTTATTGGAGTTGGTCAAATCATGCAAATAATAACTCAAGAATACAGCCTTGGAATAAAGGCAGAAAACTTGTTCTGCTGCCTTTTTTAAATCTATTAGTTATTGTTATTGGGTGCATCTACATGTGTAATTAATGTGGAGAGAGAAAAGCTCCAGAACTGTTTGAATTGGAGTACACCACTCCCAAGCATAGCATCTATATGTGTACCTAAGACAGCTGCAATTTGAGCCTGGGCACAGCAGGCCCAGGGTGGCAGCAGGCTTGGGGGGCCATCCCTGGGCTCCGGGTGGCAGCATCGGGTGGCAAAGTGGCTGGCTGTGGCACAAGAGTCCTGAAAGTGTGGAGCCATGTGGTTACGTGGCAGGCAGGAGTGTGGTTCCCTGCTGCCTGGGTTAACCAATCACAATTTATGCCCACAGTCACCTTCCACATGTGCATTTAATCTCAATTAATTACTCCACTGCAAGATAGTACTGTCCCTATCTCACAGTGGAGTTAATTAATTCACTACACCTTAATACCAGAGCATGTGTAGATGGTGATGATTTACTGCAGAGCTAATTAATATACAGGCAACCCCCGCTTAACAATCTTAATTGGTTCCTGAAAAAGGGAGCATTAAGAAAAACAAGTGTTAAGTGAAACTGAAAATATTTGACCCAAGATGGCGACCACGAGTGTTATAATGAAACTCACTGAGCGCTAAGTTAAATCAGTTATTAATTTAAAATGAGCATTATAGCGCTAAGCGAAACAGCGTTAAGTGGGGGTTGCCTGTATTCTACAGTGAAGTGAATGTATAGATGCACCCATTGAGTACTTCGATACTAATCGCATTATTTGAAAATGTTGACAAAATCAACTTCAGCACAATTTTTCACAAATCTTAGGAAATTTCACAAAGTTTTAGTCTGAAACTTTTTATGTTGGTTGGATTTAACCTCGTCTAGATCAAATGCTGGTGGTTCATATTCTTTAATTTTCATGCCTTTTTTTTTTTTTGTATATCACTAGGATTTTTCAGTTGAACTTATTTTTGCCATCTACCTGTTTCTGGCTATATACTTGATGTATAAGTATGGTACTATTGTAAAGGAAATTAGTTACCTTTATTACTTTCGTTATACATTAAGTACAAGCCCGGTCTTTTATTAATACTTAGATTATAGCATGCAAAACATCTTGTGTTCAAATTCTTCCAAAATCTATTTTAATTATCCATGTACCTGATTTTAACCTATCATCATGGAAGCAACTAGAAACACATTATCTTTGTTATTCTATCATAAGAAAAAGTTGAATTAACAGCTTTTAGTCCTCTGTGTATAACACTTATACAGAGAGAAAATGAATATACAAGAGGATGTTTTTAGAATTTCTGTGAAGTTTTATCTGTAAAGCCTCTGTTTGACTAGTGGGAATTGTGCTGCTAAAATCCTTCATGCATCAAACTAAAACTTTACTTTTCAAAATGAGGGTACATTAACTGTATTTTTCATATTAAGTTATTTTGATGTCTTGTTATAGGAGTGTGTGTTATTAATGTTGTATAGGGTATATATTTATTAAGCTCTGGATGGGATTTTCCAAACAGATGAAGCTGAAATGAAATAAGAATCTCTTTCTTCTTATTTCAGGCTAATATAAGAAACTTTTAAAAGCCTTAGCTTCTAAAAGAAGTAACAGTATTTTCATTGAATCATGAGAGGAGTATTTTGTATGTAAAGAGTCCATATTTCATTTAGATATAAACAATTATTAGATATATTAAAGAACCTAACACCACTTCCCAAAGCATTCATGTAGTAGGGGCATCGTTGTCCAGTGCAAAGTTACTTCTAAAAGTCAGAAGCAAATTTACTCCAGAAAAAGTAACTCCTTTATATGCATCATATGTTGACTCCCCTTTTCAGTTTTACTTTGCAGTAGCTATTTGCTCGATACAAACTTGCCCCCCATCCCCTTCATGCACACAAACATGCATGTGTGCACACACCATGGCTAGGTGCTGTAATAGTGCCTACTTTAGGCAACCAACTTAAGAAAATATGGAATAAAATCCACAGTAAGCTTACTGTGTCTCTGCACTCTAAGTTGCATCAAAATAAAAGACATTTTTGGCTTGCCACTGAGTGATAAATTCAGGTTGTGTTCACAACTTTTGCTTATACTTTGTAAAGACATGACAATTAACTTTTAAATGAGAGGATCTGGTACAAACTTTGACCATAAAGCTACTTTTAAAAATCGGAGCATTATTTCTCACTCGAAGGACGCATCCAGACAAGTGTGCAAGACCCAGCTGTAGTACCACAAACCACATGCGCGCCACACACACACATTTGCTGTGTGGCTATTTTGCAGCGCAGTGTCTTTTTTGACACCAGGAGATCCTAGTGTCAAAAAAAAAAAAAAAAAAAAAAACTGTGGCAGAAAAAAGTGGGGCATCACATAGCAGCAGGGTGCACCACCTGAAAGGAGCCTGGCCAGCCAGAACCATGCTCCAGCTTCTGGTCAGGCTCTGCGCACCTGGATTGCTACTTCTGGAGCCCTGGGAGGCCCCAACTACCCCAGGTAAGGCAGCTGGGGCCAGCCTACATGCTAGTCCCAGCCTCCCCTACACCACCCAAAGTAACTTTGTTGCATGCCAGAGTGTACATGCAGGGGAAGTCCCCAGGGACACATAGCAACAAAATTGTGTGCTGCTCCTATTTATCTTTGGTAAAATGCATATGCACACTCTCACCTACACGTGCAATTAGCATGCAGCAATAAATGTGTACATGTTTATATCAGGTGTATACACATGCACCCAGGACCACAGAAGCTAGAGCTAGGGTGGAGCAGCCCTGGGCTGACAACGGGCTCATTGGGGAGGAGGGAGGCAGAGATTAGGTGGGAAGGTTAGCTGCAGGCTCCAGGTTAGGGCATCAGGCAATGGAAGGGCTTGTTGTGGCACAAGGGTGCTACAGTGTACAAGCTAACTGGCAGGCAGCCCCCACACTGTAGCACCCTCATGCCCCAGCCAGTCCCGGTCAGCAACTACACTTTTGTTGAGGCGGTGTAAATCTTTGTTGAGGCAGCATAATCTTCCTAGACAGTACTGTCCTATGGAGTTAATTTACTGTGCCCTAATACGGGCACACTAAATGACAGATGATGACACTTTACTGCAGATCTAATTATTCAGCTCTGCAGTAAAGAGCACATGTAGGTGCATCCATAGTAACATTTTTCCAGATCAGAATGTATAGACTAGATACAGAGTCCATAATTTGTTATGTCTTTGCCTTAAAAGAAAAGCACATCAATAGCATATTGATAAAGAAAAGATTAAGAGTTACAATAAACTATAGGGTAGAACCTTTGATGTCCTTTTCCTCTTAGTTTCTGCCTGGTGAATCAAGTATCCAAACTATTCTTTTTAGTTCAGTTTCCTTAAGAACTGCAGTTCAGAGTCTTATGGAAATAAGTCTGTCTGGAGGACATGTGCAGCCCATTGCCTTCATGTTAGATTTTGAATCTTAAAATTTGTGTTCAAAAGTGAAGTTTTTCCAAGCTTCCATATTTAGACTTCTTAACAGAGTTTGCAGAGCCAGCATAGAGAATGGCAATAAGCCAGACGCACATTTGGGACACCTGCCAAGTTTTCCACCCCTTTGATTTTTTTTTTCACTCGTATCCCATCCCTAGAGTGACTTAATACAGCCGTATAATAGCTAAAATTGTCTGGCTTTTCAGAAGCACTGCAGAATTTTACAATGAGATTTACAGCCAACTTATAATTCTTGTTACAAGAGCTCTTGCACCCAAAGGCACTATTTCCTTTTAAACAAATAAGTTGTTTTTTTTTTCTTTTCCTCCTGACTTATTCCCTGTAGTACTACTGAGTGCAGCATGTGCTAATGGTTTAAAGATGCAGTACAGGATGGAGGAATTCCTAAGTCTCTTCCTGCCTTTGACATAGTTCTATGAATTCCATAAGCTTTTCAGCAGAGATTCAGACAACAGGTGACCTAACATACCCTTATTTTCTATTTTTATTGATTAAAATCGTCATGTAGTACATCTTTCTGGCTCTGCTTGCTATGGGAGACAGCAACTATAGGCTCTGCAGACAATTGTTAGAAATGGCAATGTAGGGGCTCAAAAGATGTGTGTAAAGTCTGGTCTGCATTCATTAATGGACACTTCCATCAATGCAACAGCCCTAACATCAGTGTGAAGAAAAGTAGTCCAGAAGCTCAGCCCTAAAGGCATGATTTCTTCCAAAGGCTGTAATAGCTACGTTCTTGTCTGCAGCCATATTTTGTCTGTACCTCCTTCTTGGTTTCACTACCTGGCTAAAAATAAACAAAAAATAAAATGAAATAACCATAATTTAGCGAACTATACCTTCCTTAGCAGAGGAAGAGCACTGCCAGGGAAATGAAATGGGATTGATCTTTCTCCTTTGAAGTCAGTTGGAGTTTTGCCATTGGTGTCTTGCCAAATGAGGCATCATAAACCCTACAACTTAAACCCAGATCCCAGGGTAAGTATCTGAAGCTGGCTGAAGACTTGTGCGCTGGAGAGGCAATGACAGCCATCTCCATGAAACCCCACACTGGACCTGGATGATTTCTTTTCTTCCTGGAACCGGAGCTTTCTTGAGACTCCAACCATGAAGTAGAAATGTCATGATGATAGCCCTGTCTGTTCTTTGCTCTGATCAGCATACCTTATCTCCCCACAGAGGGAAGTAGCTGAAGCAGCACAAAGTCTACAGAGAGGGAAGGGAAGTCGGAAGGGCCAACTCTACCTAGCTACTTTAGAAACTAAAACTAATCGTTAGAGAAATCTCCCGATTGCAGAAGTGGCAGTGGTGTTTGTTTTTGTTGATTTTTTGCTTTAATCCCTTTGGAGTGTAGTTCTTTTATAGTCAGACTAAGGTCTATGGCAAGAGTGGCTGGTTTTGGATCATATGACAAGACATTGATTTAAAGAAATGAGAATGGGAGAAGAACAAAATAAATTAATGAACAAAATATCCTGCATGTTATTTGGCTTATAACTTTATGCTACTGTCTGTCTTTCTCATCAATTTTGGCTGTAAAGTCTATGAGAGAGGGGACTATCTTGTTATATATCTGTGAAAAAGTACCATACTGGGGGGCACTGGATAAATAATAATGCCCTATAGGTGCCTCTTTTATGAAAACAGATATAGACTCCTTTCTCTTTCTCAGGCCAACCTTGGTGTACAGGGCAGAAATTAGTCAGTTTGGTGCTGTCTGCCATTTTCTCCTGTTTGCATTGGCTCCATGTCATTAAGATCAGCTCTTCTTCCCTCTCTACTAAGGATTCTTCCTAAGGGTTTTTGCAAAAACCCTTGTCTTGTTGCATTCTTTAATTTGCAGTTAATGGCTCCCCATAGAGCCTTTATGTCGATATGCAGAAGGCTGCCCTAAACAGATCTAGCATCCCTGTATGATTCTGGAGGGAATGAGTGCTGGTTAGTAATTTTGCAACTCTTCATTCTTTCCAAGAATCTTTTTCTGGGCATTTGTTTCCAAAGTGTAAGCAAGTCTTTCTGGAGCCCACTGGCTACAGATATAGAACTAAGCATACATGCCAGTAAAACAAATATGAATAGTATTCTGTTAATTAATTAATATATTGTCCTGTTAATAGAGGCAATAATGAACAAAAATTAAAATACATGACAATATCATTCCTATAGTAACACCAAGTAAAAATCCAAAAGTGTCAAATGTGCTTCTGTTCTGAGAACTGACTACGTAAAAATGTCAGCCTTTTATTCGGACCTATTTTCTTTGTACAGCAAGAACCAAATCCACTTTCTTTACTCTCTACAACGTATTTATTTTTGTTGTCAGTATATGCAGTCCAAAGCTTTGGGAGAGGGAGATTAAGTCTATTTTGACTCGGGCATCATCAGCAGAATGGTTAGTTAAGTAGGTGGTAAAGAACTGGTAAAATAAATGAGATTTTTAGCCATG